ATCAACCCACAAATGGATCAATAAACTGTGGTATATGTACACCATGGAATACTATGCAGCCCTAAAGAAAGATGGAGACTTTACCTCCTTCATGTTTATATGGATGGAATTAGAAAATGTCCTTCTTAGCAAAGTATCTCAAGAATGGAAGAACAAGTATCCAATGTGCACAGCCCTATTTTGAAACTAATTCATAGCTTTTATAGGAATGTCATAACCTAATTATAGCCTTAGAATATGGGAAGGTGGTGGGAGAGGGGAGGTGAGGGGGTAGATGGGGGGAGGGAGGGTGATTGGTGGGGTCACCTCTATGGCTTATATTACAAAGGTACAAGTGAATCTTTCTAAAAGCAGAGTATGAACATTTTAACTCAATAACTAAGAAAATGACATGAAGGTTATGTTAACTAGTTTGATGAGAGTATTTCAAAATGTGTATGAAAACAGCACACTGTACCCCATGATTGCATTAATGTACACAGTTATGCTATAAGAAATTAAAAAAAAAAAGAAAACTGCATTTATACCCCTAAATCTATAAAAAATAATAATAAAAAATAAAACAGTGAGTGTGGGAAAATAACTTTATGTCAATTATAAATATGATTTATAAAGTAAAAAAAGAAAAAGAAAAGAAAGTAACTCACCCCCCTAAAAGGTAAAAACACATACACTGGTCAAGCATAATCACAGAGCAAAAGCTTTATTGGAAATATTGTTTTGACTGAGCTCCATGAGAACTGGGACTTTTTACCCATCATATTCACTGCTATAGGCCCAGCATAGTGCCTGGCTTACACTAGATGATCATGACATAAATATTGAAGTATTTATTCATTCAAAAAGGCCTTCATCACCAAGTCACAATTTAAAATTTGAGGCTAGTAATTGCTAGAGAAGATGCAATAAGGTTTCTACTTATAAAGGAACTTGTGCTAATTATTTTTATAACAAAGAGACTTAAGCAATCTGCCTTACTGTAATTTAAAACATCACGGCTAAATTATAGGAAATGTTGCTAATCATTCTATCATAGATATTTAATACAATTTGAAAGAAATAAGATCTACCCTTATTTTAGTCCCTCAAGTGGGAAAAATGTTGATATATCAACTTAGGTACAGACGAATATTTTCAGAAATACTGAAACTGGACAGGTAATAGGCTACTATGTATGTAACATTCAAATTTGAATAAGAACATATAAATTCTCATAAAAAAGGATTTGAAGTATCTTTTTCAGCAAACTTTTTTTGTTGTTATTTGGTTATTTTTTTGTTTTGTTTTGATATGTTTTAATAATTTATTGGGTTAAGGCAGAACCACTGCTTCTAGGCTCATTCAATTGCTTGAGGATCACTGATAACCTATGTTTTCTGCAAACACACCCTTCTGTCAGTAGGCTATTTGATGTGGCCATATGCATTGTATAAGAGAAATTCCTCTACACATACTTTTTTTTTTTTTTTTTGAGACAAAGTCTCACTTTTTGGCCCTGGGTAGAGAGTACCATGGTGTCATCATAGCTCACAGCAACCTCGGTCTTTTGGGCTCAAGAGGTCCTTTTGCCTCAGCCCCCCCAAATAGCTGGGACTACAGGAGGTGCCCAATACAATGACCAGCTTTCTTTTTTTTTCCCCACTTTTAGTAGTGTTGGGGTCTTGCTCTTGCTCTGGCTGGTCTCGTGAGCTCAAGCAATCCATCCACCTCAGCCTCCCAGAGTGCTAGGATTGCAAGTGTGAGCCACTGTGCCCTACATATTCTGGCCATATTTCTCAACTAATAAAAGTCTATCCTGAACACTGTAATCATCTTGGCTGTCAGGCTGGCCTCCTCCCCTTCCACCCATCCCCCTTGCCTCAGGGACTAGTCATGGCTTTCGGTCATGCCGATTTGTCAGGAACCTCAGGATAGAGAAGCAGGGTTGTTGTGGTGAAGCCCACTCTCTGAGGGAGGCAAACAATCTTCAGGTTTCCAGGGTTGCAACTCCTAAGCCTTATAGTGCACTAGTTGAAGTGAAGCCTCTGCCGTTGGCCTTGGTTCTGCACGTGACACCCATGGCGAAAGTGCGAATGCAGACACTGTGCCCACTCCATCTCCGCGAGGACAGTACAAGAGTGGACGTTAGGACCGTTGGGCGTCGCGTAGTGTAAACAAAGATGGATCGGGAAGGTGGGAAAGACAGGCGTAAGTTCCCAAGCTTCCAGTGGGAGAACTATAAGCTCATCATTGATCCTGCCTTGGACCCTCCATCTCGCAGAACTTCTCAGAAGGTATACCGCTATGATGGAATTCGCTTTAGTGTCAATAATTCAAAATACATACCAGTTGAAAACGTCAAAGACCCCCGTTGCATTATCAGGCCTAAAAAGAGAGACTTTTTCCTCCCAGTACCTAACTTTAAGCTGGATGAGTTCTACATCGGACAGATCCCAAGGAAGGAAGTGACTTTCGCAAGGCTGAATGACAACGTGAGGGAAAACTTCTTGAAAGACATGTGCCAAAAGTATGGTGAAGTACAAGAGGTAGAGATTCTTTTTCATCCCCGTACTCGCAAGCAGTTGGGCCTGGCCCGTGTGCTTTTCACCAGTGCTCGGGGCGCCAGGGAAGCAATCAGAAACCTTCACCATACTTCCGTCATGGGCAATATCATCCACGTCCAGCTTGACATCAAAGGACAACAACGAATGAAGTACTATGAACTAATTGTGAATGGCTCTTACACCCCTCAGACTGTGCCTACTGAGAGCCAACCTCAGAGTGAGAAGCCTGAATCCCATCACCACTCTTCCTCTGACATGGCTTCATACTCAGCAGACACTGTTGTGGTGGGCAACACTGGCAATGGCATCCCCTGCTCCCAGAACACAAACTTCTTCAGCGGTCGACAAGGCACTCCATCTTCCTTTGGCCAGTTCACCCCTCAATCCTTCCATGGAACCCCCTACATATCTGGGGGCAGCATCTCCAACTTTCAGGACTCTGCCTACTCTAGAAGCACCACTTCAACCTTCTTCAGGCACCGGCGGTTATCGAACAGGTACCAAGATTCCTTTCCGCGCCGCCATTTTTCTGCGTCTTCGGTCTCCATGGCCACCTCTACTACCATTCCAGCCACCACTAGAGCCACCTCTGTATCCTTTGCTAATTCTTCCTCATTGTCCATATCTTCTTCTTCCCCGCTATCCTCTCAATTTCGTGGTTCTAACTCAATCTACCCAGCATATTATGAAAGATGGAATCGCTACAAGCGCCATGCTTCCTACCCACCCCACCGGGCAACTCGAAAAGAGCCCCCTGGGACCACTTATGATAAAAACACAGCTGAGCCATTCCCATCTTCCTACACTTCCTACTTTCCCCATGAGCCCAGCTGGCCTGTGAACCAGAACTATTGGCCTCCTGCCTTAGAGGGTTCACTCCTGGAAACTCCAGAACCCGGTGGGGGCGGGGATGGTCGATGGCCCAACCGTGAAAGAAAAGAAACTCAGACCTCTCTCTACCGAGCCTTATCTGCCAGCTCTGGTTCCCCAGCCCCAGAGACAACCACTGAGAGTGTGCCCTTCGCACAACACAGCAGCCTGGATTCCCGTATCGAAATGCTGCTGAAGGAGCAATGTTCCAAGTTTTCTTTCCTGGATTCTGTCACAGTGGAGGAGGAAAATAACAGTACAGGACCTAGGGCTAGAGACACAGGGACGGTGGTGCCTTCTGGGTCAGGTCACGGGCCCTGCACACCCTCTCCAGCCCTGGCTAATTTTGAGAATGTGGCACCTGCAGGGAGTGGGGAACCAGGGGCTACTTGGGAGTCCTCCAGGGCCAACAGACAGAACCAGGCTTCTCCATGCTTTTCTGGAGAGGACATGGAGATCTCCGATGATGACGGGGGTAACTCACTCCCTCTAACCCCAACACCCCCTCAGCAGCCTCCACTCCCTCCCCCCATTCCTCCCTGCCCTTCTTCCTTTCCCCTTGCTTATCCTCCCCACCAACCTACCTACCTTCTACCAGGATCTGATGGGTCACCACTACCCAAGTACCCCCCTCCTCCTCCACCACTCCCCTACACGTATGACTCTGTGAACTCCTTGGAACTTACAGATCAACTTGGGGCTCAGTGGGGAGGGATTCCACAGATGGTAACATCACTCCACCATCTGCATCAGGGCAAGGGGTTGACTGCTGCCTCAGCTGGTTCTCCTGGTGGGGACTTTGGGGAGGGCATCCTCCCATTCCCACCTCTCCAGGGAGCAGCCTATGGTTTGCCCCATGCTCTGTATATACAAGGGCAAGAGGGCCAAGGGGCATACTCAGGAGGCCTACCACCTGCCTTTATCTATAGTAGTCAGGCCCCAGCCCTCCTCCCATCTTTGCCCATAGCAGTCAAGCCTCAGTGCTCCTCAGTCTTTCCAGAAGAGGCACAGCTGCCAGAGCTAACACATGGCAAAGCCCTATCATCAACAGACATCACGGGCCTTGTGATGTCCACTGTAGTCAAAGAGATGAAGAGCATCATACAGCGAGACGTTAAACGCAAGATGGTGGAGAACGTGGCTTTTAAAGCCTTTGACCGATGGTGGGAAAGTATGGAAGAAAAGGCCAAGCCATTCCAGAATGCAGTCAAACAGAAAGCCAAGGAAGAGGATAAAGAGAAGATGAAGCTCAAAGAACCTGGCAAGCTATCCCTTGTAGATTGGGCAAAAAGTGGGGGTACCACAGGCATCAAGGCCTTCGCCTTGGGATCAGGCCCGCAAGGGGCCCTGCAGCTGCCTTCATTCAGGGTAAAGCGAAAAGAGCCATCAGAGATTTCAGAGGCCAGTGAGGAAAAGCAGCCCCGGCTGTCTGCACCAGCTGAAAAAGATAAAGATGGCCCTGAGCAAGAGGAGGTAGCCAGGGAGCCAGGACATTCGGAGACCAAACCTCCAAAGGAAGACGAAGAGCAAGGCAAGACCCAGGGCATGCCTTGCACGTCCTTTGTTCTTGACAAAGGAGAGGAAGCATCCCAGAATTCCTCCTCAGAGAAAGACGAGGAGGATAATGAGAAAGACGAAGACGGAGACGAAGCTATGGATACAAGTAAAGAGACAGAGGCATCAGATGTTGAGGATGAGGAAAGCAATTCATCGTCCAAATGCACATCAGACTTCAAGAGCAGCAGCTCCTCTTCTTCATCTAAGTCATCCTCTGAAGATGAAGATGAAGCGGAGCAACCAGCAGCCATTCTCACAGTCTCACCACCCCCCAAAGAAGTCCCAACACCAGTGCTAGCACTTGTGGAAGAGTCTGAGCCAGAGGGGGCTGCATGCTCCCCAGGCACACCCCTGCCTGAACAGGAAAAATCTCCAGCAAGACCTGCAGGTCCTGCTGAGGAGCCACTTCTCAGTGTGCCCAAGCCACCTCCAGAGCTACCAGCTGGGCCATCAGCCCCCATCCCCTGCCCTGACAAGTGCCAATCTTCTATTCCCTTCCTGCCCCCACTCAAGAAACGCCGTAAAACCATATTCTTTTCTGTTGTGGAGGAGGTGCCAGCCCCACAGCCTCCCCTAACTGACCCACCACAGGCCAACTCTCCTGACCTAGTCTCTAGCAAAGTACCCCAGGATATGGAGCAAACCATTTGCAACCTGCCCCTAGCTGGTGAATCTTCTGTTAAGAGCTGTCCTGAGGAGGTGCCCCAAGAAGGTCAGAGCCAGGCTGGAGATGGAGGCCACTCTACCAAGGAAAAAGAGGCTGAGGCAGGGACAGAAGTAGACCTAGCAGTTATGGCTGACCTGGCCCTGACCCCAGCCCTGCAAAGACTAGCTGCCCTGCCTACTATTGATGAGTCAGAGACCACAGAGACCTTGGATGAGGCAGATGACCCCAGACTCTTGCTCTGCCACATCTTCCTGGATCATAACTATGCTCTAGCCAACAAGCCCTCCAAGCCATCCCCTCGGGCCCTGAAGCAGTTCCTTTCCCCTGAAGCTTTCTTCAGCGCTCCAGCAGTTGACATTCTAGAGGCATCCAAGGTGGTGGTAGCTGAGGCGGAAAATCCAAAGAAGCGACAACTGCGGCAGCAAGAGAGGGGTGAGGAAGAGGAGTCTGATTCCTCTGAGATGAGTGGCAGCAATGAGAAGGAGGGGGCCGGCTGGCAGTACACCCTCAGTTCCAACACTCAGTGTCATCAGCCCCCCACACTATACCTGTCACCTTCCACCTTTAAGCCACGCAATGAGTTTCAGCAGATTAGCATCCTGTATGACATTTGGACCTCGGGCCTGGACTTAGAAGACATGAACTACCTGCAGCTCACATATGAGCGACTACTGCAGCAGAAAAGCGAGGCTAACTGGCTTAACAACACCCGTTGGGTCCCTCACAGCACCACCAACCTGAGCACTACAGAACATGAGCTGAGGGCCCGAGATGGGCTCCGAGAGCACCAGACAGGCTCTGCCCGCAGTGAAGGCTACTACCCTATCAGCAAAGAGGAGAAGAACAAGTGCCTGGATGCGTGCTCTATCTCAGCCCGGCAGCTGGAAGGAGTGGACGCTCAGGGGCCTAATCGTGTTTTTTCCAAGCGCAGGTCTGAGCAGCGGCGGCTGCTGAGTGCCATTGGCTCCTCTACCATTATGGATGGTGATCTGCTAAAGCCAAACCAGCCCAAGTTCCAGAAGAAACTTCGATTTGGAAGGAGCCAGATCCATGAGTGGGGTCTGTTTGCCATGGAACCGATTGCAGCTGAAGAGATGGTCATCGAATACATGGGTGAGACCATCCGCCAGACGGTGGCTGTCATGAGGAAGAAGCGCTATGTACAGGAGGGCATCAGCAGCAGCTACTTTTTCCGAGTAGACCATGACACCGTGATCGATGCTACCAAGCATGGAAACCTGGCAAGATTCATCAACCACTGCTGCATGCCCAACTGCTATGCCAAGGTGATCACTGTCAAGTCACAGAAGAAGATCATAATCTACTCCAAGCAGCCCATCAATGTAGATGAGGAGATCACCTATGATTACAAGTTCCCACTGGAAGACAAGAAAATCCCATGTCTGTGCGGCACTGAGAACTGCCGTGGTTACCTTAATTGAGTTAGAGCAGAACTAATGCTCACACTATTTATTCCCCCTTCATACCTGAGCCCCCAGCACCCTGCCCCAGCCTCAGTGGGCTCAGCAGAGCCCACATGCCCCCATCTCCAGGTATGGGGTTGGAGAACCCAGCACCCAGCAAGGGAGCCTCAGTCCCTTGAGGCAATTTCTGCCTCTCCTGTCACCCCTCCCCATTATCTCCTAATTTTTTTTTTTCTTGGCAGAGAAGCAGCAGCTGTGAATGTTTTCTTTAGCAGCCAGCAGCTGTTTATCCAGCTGTAGAAACCTGCAGTGCCAGTGTTTATATTCTATACTTGTTCTTGGGGTTTACATACCCTTTGTTTGTGTTAAAGCAGAATTCCCCCTTATGTTCCACATATACCCCTACCCAGTTTAGGGGTCTCTAGGTCTGTGGCCATTTCTCCCACTGGGAATGCCCTGTGCCCCCAGTCCAAGGGACTTTGTGCTGGAACTCTGCTCCATCTTCTGTTCCTGCCAGACCCTATGGGCCACCCTCCCCTCCCACCCTGGTGCCTAGAGACTCTAGCTCAGCCAGACCACGATGGTGAGGTGGGCCCTCCTTGTTGGGCTGGATTATACATATATAGCACTATAGTTAATAGCACAAACCCCACACCACATTTTTATAATTGTGGTTAAACTTTATTGTACAAAAAAAAAAATCTTAGCCATCAATTCAGCCTCTCCAACTAGCAAAATAAACATCTACATAGACTCAAGACATTGACCCACCTCATAAATACAACCCTATTCTCTTGTGGGAATGGCCCATAGCTTTAAGACATCAAATGAAATCTGAGAATGTTGATAATAAAAATTTTACCATAACTGTTATTATTGCTGGTGACTTTTTTCTTTCAATAGATTTCACTTTACGTACATTATATAGTATTAATAATGATCCTTTGTAATCTGTACTATTTTAAAATCTTTAAGTAATTTTATCAATAGCCATTTTTAAACATATTCTTATATTCATCCTATGGGTAATAAGCACATCACATTCTGAATGTTATTTTAGAAAAATCATAGTACTCATCTTTAAATTGTGATGCCAGGTTAGTCAAACATTTCCTTCATTGAAGAGAAATTAGGTGAATTAGTTGCTTCACTGAGTTCAATCATTATTATTTTAACTTCCTATTTTGTCAAGCATTTCTAGAGTGCTTTATACTAACAGTAACCATAAAATGTATATTTTTGCCTGTGAAAAGAAGTGCTATTACTAAGTACACCTGAACAACAGGCATATAGCAGGGTTGTCATAGGCAAACCAGGACATATGGTCCCCCTATTTGTAGTTTACAAAGCACTTTCACTCACAGACTGTCCTAGGTCAGGTTCTCCCAGAGGCAGACTCTAAGCCAAGGATTTGAGAACATATAATTTATTAAGAAAACACTACCATCCCTCTCCTCTTACCCCTTCTTCTTGGGCTATAATTGGGTTACTATAAAGCTATAAATTGGTTTCATAGTAAGGCTGAGTATAGGGAGGAGGGGGTAGGGAGGGTGATTGGTGGGACCACACCTACGGTGCATTGCATTTTACAAGGGTACAAGTTACATTTACCAAGTGTAGAATATAAATGTCTTAACACAGGGTGGTACCTGTGGCTCAAAGGAGTAAGGTGCTGGCCCCATATACCAGAAGTGGCAGGTTCAAGCCCAGCCTTGGCCAAAAACTGCATTAAAAAAAAAAAAAAAGGTCTTAACACAATAACCAAGAAAACAAGGTGAAGGCTATGTTAACCAGTTTGATGAAAATATTTCAATTGGTATATAAACCCAACACATTGTACTCTATGACTGCATTAATGTACACAGGTATGATTTAATTTAAAAAATAAAAACACTCCCAGAAGAGAAGAGGAAGGGGATGGAGGGAGCAGGAGAGGAAAGGGAAGAAGCCTGGAGAGGATGCAATTTCAGGTGAAGTCCCAGCCTCATCCTGCTTCCAAGAGAAATACTATAGAATAAATCACACTGGAATTTATTCCATATCAGGCAAAGAAGCTGGGCTGTTGTCATCCCACACCAGTCAGCCCTTCCTCTCAGACCATTCCCATCAGATGAAGTAAAACTCTAGCTCTTCAAACTGGTAAAGAATTTCCAGTGCCCAAGGACAATCTTCTGAAGGTTATAAAGAACACAGGAACATGGGGGGATGGGCCAGGTACCAGCAGTGTCCACTGTATATACATCCATTTACTCAATTCTCCCAACAACTCTGCAGAAGTACATTTTATAAATCTCCATTTTAAATATGAGGAAATTACTGTGCTACTGAGCTACTGTGCTACTGTAGCGCTGAGCTACAGAGCTACACTCTGTTCTCCAGAGAAACAGGAGATACATGTATGTGTGTGGCACATACACACACAATGTGTATGTCTATGTGTGGGTGTGTGTATGTGTGAGTCTTTTCAAAGAGGCCTGTCCAGGATCACATAGCATATCATCAATATAGCTGAGATTTACACTGAGGTCTTTGGACTCAAAATGGTTAGAGCTATTATTGCTTGGTGCAGTGGCTCACGCCTGTAATCCCCCTACTCTGGGAGGCTGAGGCGGGTAGAATGCCTGAGCTCACAGGTTTGACACCAGCCTGAGCCAGGGCTAGACATCCTTTCTTAAAAATAGCTGGGCATTGTGGCGGGCACCTGTAGTCACAGCTACTTGCAAGGCTGAGACAAAGAATCACTTAAGCCCAAGAGTTTGAGGTTGCTGTGAGCTATAACACCATGGCACTCTACCAAGAGTGACAAAGGGAGTCTGTCTCAAAAAGAAAAATGGATAGCACTTTTAAACTGCAATAACTACCAGGTAGTTTCAAGTAGATAAGTTTATGTGTAGTCTTTAGTAGAAAACACTATTTAAAAAGTAACACTTTATGAAAATTTTGGTGTCCAAGCTTGGTATAATTATATTTATCTGCTTCACATTGTAGGCACATTTTCCAGTTAAAACCATGCGCTTGGGAGAAAAAAAAAATCATTTTTTTTATATTAGTAGTTAAAGGGAAAAGTTAATTTGTTAGGGTTCTCCAGAGAAACAGGAGATACATGTATGTGTGTGGCACATACACACACAATGTGTATGTCTATGTGTGGGTGTGTGTATGTGTAGGGGGGAGGGGGAAAGAGAGGAATATTTATTACAAGGAATTGGCTGAAGAGATCATGGAGGCTAACAAATCTCAAGATTTGCAGAGTGAATTGACAAGCTTGAAGCCCAGGAGAACTAATGGTGTAGTTCTGGTCTGAGTCCAAAAGAGAGCTGGTGGTGTAAGTTCCAGTCTAATGGCCCATAGGCTTGACATAAAGGAAGAGCCAATGTTTCAGTTCCAGTCCAAAGGTAGGAAAAAAATATTTCCAGTTCAATGGTCATCATGCAGGAGGAATTTCCTTTACTTAGTAGAGGGCCAGTCCTCTTGTTCTATTCAGGTCCACCAACATTCGGGGAGAATCTTCTTTATTCGGTTTTCAGATTTATATGTTAATGTCATCTAAAAGAAATCTCACAGAAATACTCAGAATACAGTTTGACTAAATATCTGAGTACCACCAGGCACACTCAAATTGGCATGTAAGATCAATCATAATTGGTATTGTCCCAGTGCATTGTGTATGACTATAAAAATTATTCAGCTTCTTAAATTTAAAAACACATAGTTCCTCTTCTTATGATCTGCTAGTATTAGAGACTATTTCTACATTATTTAATAAAAATTACATATGTTTTCTCAGAGTCTTTTCTCTTGAGTTTTTTCTGTCTTATTTTCAGTTAACATACAGGCACTTACATATAGGAAGTAATCTTACAAACAAATGGAATAGATTTTAATATTATTAATTTTTTAAGAGGAAGAGAAGCAATAAAACAAAAATTGTTTTAGCATACTCATACTGTGGGGAGAAATTTTTAAATACTTAGATCTACTTAAAGAAATAAAACTGTTTCTACAATATGAAACCACAACTGGGTTTACTGGGGGGGGGGGAAGTCAAATAGTTCCTTTGAACTGAACTGATAAATTCAATTAAAGTACAAGGTCACAAAACAGTAACACAGCTAGCACCCAAGTCCAGCTCTTAGCCACCAAGCTCTACTGTTTCCCTAAAATAGAATGTTTAGTTTTCCATGTGTATTATTTTCAAATATGTTGCTTATCTGTAGCATTTTCTTAGTTCAAAAATATCTCTTCTCAGTTTGACACCCGTATTTCAGTGGTTAGGGCACCAGCCACATACACTAGGACTGGTGGATTCCAACCCGGTCTGGGCCTGCTAAACATCAGTGACAACTACAACAAAAATATAGCCGGGCATTATGGCAGGCACCTGTAGCCCCAGGTACTTGGGAGGCTGAGGCAAGAGAATCACTCAAGCCCAAGAGTTTGATGTTGCTGTGAGCTATGATGCTACGGCACTCTCCCAAGGGTGACATAATGAGACTCTGTCTCAAAAAAAAAAAAAAAATCAGCGGCAGTGCCTGTGGCTCAGTGAGTGGGGCACCGGCCCCATATACTGAGGGTAGTGGGTTCAAACCCAGCCCCAGCCAAACTGAAAAAAAAATAAAAAATCTCTTCACTCCTCCTCTTGATATTGAAACTTTACTAATCTTTGGAAATTCAACACAAAAGCAAGCTCCTCAAAGAAACTTTCCAAGTGCTCTAGTTGGAATGCTTTCTCTACTCTCTTGCTTTTTAAATACAATCCTTCACAGACCTCTATCATAGCTCTTGTTTGACCTTACGTCAGTCTCTCTTGCTGGCTCATGAGACCCCTGTGGGCTCACAGCATCTATGGCTGAGAATTGTGTAGATGCTTAAAACTACTGAGTGAAGATTTCTCATCCAAATTTACTTCAGTGACGGAGAAATAACAAGTACTCTGTGGGATCTAAAAGACTTGTGCCTGTATCCTACTTCAACTACTTCATACCTATGAGCTTGCAACCTTGGAGCTCATCACTTTG